ACACTCCTATAGTATTTTGACACACTCCGATATTGAGAATACATAGTCAATTGACTGGTTAGCCTTTGTGATTTGAAAACGAAGTTTTAGAAAACTTAGATAAAGCGCACGAACTTATGCAACAACCCAATAGCAGCCATAGAAAGTTCTGTGAATGTTACATTCGTATAAAAAACATAAAATGTTTTCTGAAAATTAATTCGATTACTGTGTTTTCGTTTATGAGAAAGTTTCAGTCAATCTAGCTCTAGAGATTGTGCCTCTTTTGTCTCATATTCTTTCTTTTTTGTCGTCATCCTTTCGATAACCACACCCAATGACGCAAGCGTAAGGAACTATTCCCCCTCATAAAATTTTAATCTTGACTATTGATTCGGAAATTTGAGAAGAACAAGGCTACTCTCCCACGTTGGCCAATGATTTGCATCGAAAAGAACTGGAAATAATCGCAGCCATACACGCCAGTTGATCGGATGACTCTTTAAAACACCCGATAGCAGTAAGGCACTAATCCTTTGACAAATAACGATTACGGCTGCTTGAACTGATAAGATCCTTGGTGATCAGCATATTCACCGTTTCATTGCCAATCAACAATGAATGTTTTGAAAGGTGATCAGTTGAAATTTGCCGATCAATTTTCAGAATCGGATGCAAGAATCACTTCAGCTATTCAAACAAGTTTGTAATAATCGATATTTTGTTGAGACAAATGTTATTTTATTTCTAAATAAAAAAGATTTATTTATGGAGAAAATTGGTAAGGGTCGATCGCTGAAGATTGCCTTTCCTGACTACAACGGTGAGTGTCCAGTTGAAATTTCTTTTTTTCTCAATGCTTCAATCATTATTTCGTTATATGGAGAGCGAGATCTTGAATTAAACATTCAATTTATGATAAACGATCGCTCGCTCTCAACCAAGTGATCATATCCCATCAGCCAGCTGGATGGCTCGAACTGAATGTCTTTTCCAGGTCCCGAGACATATGAGGCATGTTCGAAGTTCATTGAGAAGAAATTTTTCATGGCTAATGAAGTACCGAATAAGTCGATTTATTGCCATCATACCTGTGCGACAGATACACAACAAGTGCAGTTCGTATTGGACAGTGTTTTGGATACGATTTTATCGAGTAAATTGAAAGGATGTGGTCTTTATTAATGAGTTAAGGTTGTTGCTATGTGTCGTGTACAGTATCAGTAATACGAAGGATAAACATTGTCAAAACTCGACTCCTGAGCACAGTCATTCTTCCGATTGAGTCGTTCAGCCAAAAATTATCGGTTGCGGTCGCTTAGACGACATAATCACATGCGATGCACAGTTCATGAAACTAGGCCAGACCCAAGAGGAGAGGATTTCTACAGTAATCAGAGCAGATTAGAGGAATTTCATTCTTGAAGATCGAACAGAGCAGAATGATTCGAACACCATTCCCATCTATAAATCTATTCTTCGTGCAATAAAT